GCCTGAGGCCTGCTGGCCGCTCGGTGACCGGGTGAGCAGGGCGCAGGCTCTGCCCCGCGTGCGGGGCTTTCGCCGCCGCCTGAGCAAAGTATTTGCTTCCCTACCCGGCGTCGCACGTAGCCAGCAGTCCGGTTGCCCGTAGTACGCGTGAAGTTACACATGAGGTTCAGAGCTTCCCCAGAGCAGGCGCCAGGTACGTGAGGCGCTGGAGGCAGAGGACTGCACCTCCTCCTGTGGTTCTGGTCCTTTTTGTGGCCCTTTGGGGTGGTTTCCCCCCCCGCCATAGCAGCTGTTGGCAGTGCTCTGCCCCGAGGATCGGCAATAGAGGGACCTGTTTTTCCCCTCTCTTCCAGAGGGATGGAGACGTTGAGAGCTTCCTGCAGAAGAAACGGTGTTTGTGTCCCTGTTCCCGTTTGCCTCGTTTCCGTAACTCGGACCTTACAAGTGTTTTCATTGCTCTTTTCCACAATTCCTAAGCCAAATTCTTTAAAATAGTTCCTCATGCTCTGTATAAGAAATGAATTTTTTGTAGGGCCTTTTCAGAGAGCAATGAGTTTTCAAGTGTTGTTAGTTCAGGGAGCCAGTTATGCTACGCTAGAGTCTCCTTATTGCTCTCAGAGAGACTGATAATCAAATATGTTGCCGTAAGCAAAATACCCCAGCAACAGTGATGCCGGCATCCTATTCTCCAAACATATTAGACCAGAATAAGGGCTCTTCGTCTGACACAAACAGAAATAATTAAAGCTTGCTCTCCAGCATTAAAACTTGACTTACCTTAATCCAAACAGCCCAATGCAAATATCTTAGCCTGGAGTTTCTAGTTCTAAGTCAAACAACTTGTTATTGAGATTGAAAAATAATATATTTTGGCCTACGTTTTCCTCATATAATCCCTGCTCTACTGACTGCCCTTTTAAAATGGGCAGAAATAAATGAGGATTTTAATTCTTCCCCAGATATCTTTCATTTTGGCCACTGGATATTGCAAGTTCAGGTGTGTCTACAGGGGATTTCATGCATAGAATTCATCAGATGGTCCTTAATAAAAGGGAGATCTTTGTAGAGCTTCTGTTCTGCTGTTTCAAGAATGAAATATTTTTCATTAAAAGATAAAACTTATTTTAATATTAAACTTTTAAGTGTAGACCCAAATCATCCATACATTTAAGTATATACATAATCTAAGCATATATATAGTTTCTTTGAAGGCATGGGCTCGTTGTAAACACTGTGAGCAGTATACTACACAAATTACAATTTTGCTAGGATGTTGTGATATAGGATAACACTCACGGGGAATGGCTAAATCAGGATAGCACATATATTTAAAATCTTATGTCTTGCATTAGGTCTTTTTTCATACAGTATCTGTGTGCCCACTGTGGGTTATAACATCAGTAAGGGAATAACAATGCAAGTGGCATGTTGCTAAGTCTTCTTGTGGATGTACTGAAGTTCAAACTGCATCAAAAAAAAAAACAAAGGGATAGGTGATTTTTAAAGGAATAAAGGCACTTAGAAGTGAATGTTGGCACCAAGTAGCACTTTCAACACTCCCTAAAATGCCTCACATTGTGCATACCTACCTACATTTGCAGGTGGCCAAGTACTTAAAAAGTCTAGCTTCAAGTGTTGTCAAGGCTGAGGACTTGATAATCTTCTCTTGTAATCTTTCTCCTCACTTCAAGCCTCTCCAAGTAATTAATATGTTGTTTTTGTACAGACAAAATCTCATAATAAGCACCTCTGAAGTCTACTGTAGGGTGATAAAGCCTCAGTTTTTGCTTTTTTCCTATGAGGTTTATAATGTTAAATATGGTACTGTTAGATGAAGTCTTATTTTACAAATGTTAAACTAAGAATTGTCCCTTTTAGCCGATCTGAAATTAATGGAGCTTTTGTAGTATGGTGCTTCCTGACTGAACAAAGGAGTGTACACTGAAAACTAGCAAAACCTTGTCTGCCTTAAAGCGGGAAAAAGTCAGTTCTCTTTATGATTAGTGTTGACAACTCTTACTGTTCTGTCACGAGATTTTGTGCTGGATGTTTTACATAAGTCCACAGCTTCTGGACTCATGTGTTTTCATTATATTTGACTTTCCTTTAAAAACTAATTTCTAGCTCTGTGATTATGGACACTTTTTTGGAAAGGAAATAAATCTGTGTACATGTGTACAAGTATCTGAAGGGGGAGTGTCAAGAGGATGAGGCCAGCCTCTTCTCCGTGGTGCCCAGCAACAGGACAAGAGGCAATGGGCAGAAACTGAACCACAGGCAGTTCCATCTGAACCTGAGAAAAAACTTCTTCACTGTGAGGGTGACAGAGCATTGGAACAGGTTGCCCGGCGAGGTAGTGGAGTCTCCTTCCCTGGAGATATTCAAAACCCGTCTGGATGTGATCCTGGGCAATATGCTCTAGAGGTCCCTGCTTGAGCAGGGAGGTTGGACTAGATGATCTCCAGAGGTCCCTTCCAACCTAAACGATTCTGTGATTCTGTGATCTCTGTACAGGATCCCCAGCCTGTACCGAGAAGCAAATAGAAAAAACATTATTAAAGTCCTGTTGGTTTAAAATCTTACATTTTTTACAATTTTCCATTTTTTGTGACTAGGTTCATTGCTTTATATCAGTTGAGGGTGACAGCTGTGAGATTTTTAATGAAAAGTCAGCATGTATCTTGGTTCCAGGAAAAAAGAGGAACAACATTTTTTGTACATTTCTGTATCTTTAAACAGGAGGAATCCTTTCAATCAAATGGCACTCTCTTCCTTGAGAAATCAACTAAGGAACTAATATTCCCCTACAATTGTGTCCTGTCTGAACAAGGGAATGTTAGTTCGTATGTGAAAAAGCGAAGAAATTTGCAGAGATGTTTATGGATCCTGCTGTTTTTTAGAACAACAAAATGATACATCTTACATGAGATACTGTTTTAGGGAAGACGTATTTATCTTCAAAACTCTGATTTCTTCTTGCTTGCTGAAGCTGTTCAGTGATTTCCTGTTAGCTGATTAGCCCCCTTTTTTTTTTTCATTTTCTCAGTTACATTGTAGTTGAAAGCCTATTTTGTTTGTTCAGTAAAAACTGACTTCTCCACATAATTTTTTCTAGGAAATGGAGATGGCTGGCACTGTCAGGGAGACAGAGACTTTGTGTTCTGGTTGAGAGCAGGTACAAAGGGCATGCGTGGCAGCCTTGTTATTGATTACCTACTAAAGGAAAGCCATGTTTCTGTGTGTGCAAGAGGCCGTAAGACCACGAGGGGACATCTGAGTAACTAATGACCGTAAATTGCTAGATCATTCGTTGCGCTGAGAGATATGTAAGCAGAGCTACTCTTTAGTCAGTCTGTAGAAATATTTAGAGTTGTGCTCTTTCGTTAGCACCTCCTGTGCTTACAAGATCAGTTCTCATCACTGCGTATTATTCCTTTGGCTGGAAAGGATGATTGCCTAGATTAATCCCACTTAAATAAGAAGGAAGGCCAAGATATAGCAGCTGTTACTGACAAATGCGTGTGAAGCCCGTGCAGTAATTCTGTCAGATCTCTGCCTTGCCTCTGCCATTATCTCGTATTGTACAACATCACCGAGCTTCAGAGCGTCTCTCCCATCCCTCCATATGGTATTGTAAAGTGAAGTCCATAAAGGAACAGACTGCAGATTCCTATCAACTTCACTAAACTTAGTACAAGAAAAGTTTCTTTCCCATCGTGACCTTTAAATGTTAACTGCCAAAAACATAACATTATCCTTTTTTTAAGAAGGAGAAAGTGCAATTCATGGTGTTTGATTGTGTCGCAGAATAACCGTTTTGGTGTTGCAGGGCCAATTCACTTATATTAAGCTTACAGCAGTGTAACTCTTGTTTAGAAGAATTTATTCCTAATTTATGCCAGTATGAAAGAAGACCTTTAATTTTCCAAAGAGCTATTTATGTTATCAGTCTTTTAAAACATGCAGTCACATTAAATTATATTTCTGGCACGTTGTTCTTAAAATTAGTGCAGAGGTGGTGTTATCCGAATATCATCTTTGTGTATATATATATATATATATATACACACGGATATATATGTATATGTGCACGTTAGCATGCACACACACACACATACATACAAATTAAAAATCAGTATATTCTAGCTATCTTCTTTTATTTTCACCTTTTAAACTGAATAAGCCAGCTGTGCCCTTTGGGGTCTATAAGAATGAATCATTTTTATTATTTTTGCTCACTTAGGCAGTAATTACAGAGTAGTATGCTGTCTCTGTTTTTTAATATGACGGTGCCGTTTTCATCCATGGTGTAACACCATTAACTTCAACACAGTTACACTAGAAATGAATTTGTCCCCAGGAGGCTTTTCCAAATGTTCAATTATTTCCTCATGGTTACCCAGAGGAGCAGTGAAGAAGAAGGCAAGACAGAGGGCCCTTTGATATGAGGAATGTAGTTCAAAGAGAGGTCTTGTGTCTGCCATTCATGGTGCTCCATATGTTCCTCATTTGGGATGGAGGTAGATTAGATCCTGTGGAGGCACGCATGCCGTGTCTGAAGGGCAGGCAGAAATTGTAACGTAGCACATCTGGTGCACAGGTTATGTTCTTTCCTGGCCATACGTACCGTACAAATGAAAAAAAAGTGAGAGGAGTGTTCAGATACGTAAAGTATATTTCAGTTGAACTGTTTGAAAGTCAGAAGATGAAGTAGCCAAATGTTAACTGATCAAACTCATCATAACTATGGAGTTGTCCAAACTCCAATCCAGCTGCTTGTTAGATTTCAAGCAACCCTGTGCTAGGGGTTGTATGAATCAGTGCTACCATGGATTTGCCTATTGTAAAGATAATTACAACACATAAAGGAGATACTCACATTAGCAGGGCCCACAGCAGGGCTGCACCACAGCCAGGTCAGAGGGCAGACACCCCTACAGTGTTGCCCAGGCCCATGGGCAGAGGTGTGGGTGGAGGTGAGGCTGGTCGGGGCAATTAAAGCCTGTTAGTGCGCTCAGGGCCCTGACAGTCACACGTGGCAAAGATTTTTCTTATGTTTAAATCAGAAACTCTGATCCTTGCAGAACCTAGGATCTAGCAGGAGGAAATGTTTGTACCTTTTCAGTAAACGTCTAGTATTTTTCTTGGTTTTAATAGCTTATGTGGTTTGTGCTACATGCTGATCATTTACCTCAGATACAGAGCCAAATATTCAGCTTCTGAACAGGATACCCCGATGTCCCTTTTTAGTCTCTGAGTTTCACTTCTCTGGATAATTATATTCCCCAGGCACTAGAGGGCTGGTCTGAGTTTCCTAATGTGGGACTCAAACTCAGGGACCCACATTTGAAAATTGCCTTTGTTTGTAGATAGATGTGCAAAGAGGTCCCGTTTGTGTGTGTCCTCCTGCAGCTGTGTAAGCACACGTTGAAGCTCTATTAAAGGCAATGAAATAGCAACAGTATTAATAGCAACAGTATTTAAGTGTTTTGTTCCTGCTCAAGGCCCAGGTCGGTGGAACTGGTGTAAGGAATGCTCCTTCCCTTAGGTAGCAAACATGGCTCTCTGCAGACGCCGTTACTGAGAAGCTGTTAGTTAGCACAGGAATTTGTCTTCCTTCTTTCTTGTCTTTCCTTTGTCTGCATGTCAGGGAGACTTCTTGAACGTTCTCCCTAGTTCCTCTTCAGCTAAAGGGTCATTAGAGAAGTAAGAGCCAACTTGGTACTGCTTCAAGCATGGAGTGTTTTCTAAATCTGAAACAGTTAAAAAAACTGTAAAACAACTGAGACCCATAGCCAATCCACCTTAAGACCACACTGTGCTAAAGCTGGGCACAATATGAATGTATTAGCTGAAGAGAAGCCTGTAGGATTTTGCAGAGCTGGACTGAGCAGTCTGCTCCCTGTTCTGGCGTTGCCTCGCTGCTGCTGTGTGCTCCCCTGTCCTTCCTCTGTGTCATCCCTTGTTCTGAACATGATTTGGAAACTCTTTGGACAGACACTATCGTTTCGTTTTATGTTTATGCTCTGCTGGGGCTGTTCCCTGACGAGGGCTCTATTTCACTGCCACTAGTAACAGTAATAACTCTGTCCCCTGTTGCTAAATTAGGACTGGAGATCATTCTTTCCAGCAGGCAGCAGTTCCTAATCTTTCAGGAGGCTGCTTTGGCTGCCACCCCTCGGCTTCCCCTTCCTCCCTCCCCGAGACCTCTGCCAGGGATGTCAAGGCACATCGTCCTTGCCCGACGTGTTCCTGCTGTAATTCCTTCTTCATCTTTGTCCCTAGACTCCTGCTGCAGTCTCCTCTCCTGGAGCCTTCCCATAGTGCTGTTGTTTCTGTGTCCTTGCTCTCCTCATCATCGTAGTTTCAGGTCACTCTCTCTTTACCACTTCCTTGAGTTGTGGCTGTTTCTTTCCCATCCCCTCACTGCCGGGTGAAGCAGTGCTGTGGTGGCAGCCCAGCCACTTAATAGCTTGGTAGCGCTCAGCTGAATGCAACTTTTAAATGTTGGTTGGGAACCAGTGCAGAAGAGCGTGTTTACTACTGAATAGAGTACAAATTTAAACAAATATATAGATGTTACCTTGAAAAATGCAAAGTTCTGATGGAGGCCCATTAAAAACAAACTCAGAAAAGTGCACACATTTATGAAAACCGTGCACTACGTTTCAGTGATACTTTGAGTGTGGTATTTTTATCTTCGGCTATGGCTGCTCATTCTAAGAATAATAACAATTATTTTCTTGATCTTAAACGCTGCTGTGGGGGTATCACAAACTTCCTGAGTAAAAACTTTAATTAAAAAGCAAACGTTAATCTGCGAGCAGTTGCATCTGCAGCATATTGCAAGATAAGACTTTGCCAACCTGAAAAACTAGACAAGATTCTAATTAAATCGTGAAAAAATGATGAGCTAGATATACGTTTTATATAAGGATCACAGTTACATAAGATGAAAGATCTCACAGTTGCTATCTGGTGGGAAATGTTGCAGCTAGATCTCACAGGCTGTTTGCTGGAAGATTAATCCTAGTTCCACTGGTTCCAAGTAGGATTGTGAGACTGTCTTCAGTGGAGTCAGGGCTTCGCCATAGCTCTGCATTTGACTCAGGAGCTACTTGGGTCCCGTCGAAAGCTATGCAGATGATCCAGTAGTGAAGCAATAGATCAGCAAGGTATGAGCAAATGCCATATTGCTAATGGTGCCATCTTTCCAATGAGCCACAAAAACAAAGTCCTGACTATTTATGGTTATTAGAGGTCACAGTGCACCTTTTGTAAAGTAGAGCTCTTAATCCCAATATGCTAGCCAACATCTATTTTAGGTAATTCCACTCTGGCTATCAGCCTTTCTTGTATTGTTCCAGTTTGATATAGTATTGGCCTTCACATCCTGTTCCAAACTCTGCTATGCTCCTCTGTGTTTTGGAATGGTTGATATTTTCCAGAGACTGCTACACTGCAGTGGTGTGTGAAGCGATCTCTATATATCCCTCACATGTCTCACAGGAATGGAATGAGGATTAATCAATTATGGCTGAATCGTGATCCCAGTGAAGTCAAAAGAAGGCTCTTTCCATTGGCATCACTTGGGGCAGGCTTCTATGTGCGTGTTATTGTTTTGAGATTCCTGCATGTAGAAACAAATTAAAGTGCAAGGCATTACCGTGTTGAAGATGTCTGTGTAGTGAGAATTCCTTTAGCTAGAGAGCAAAATATATTTTAAAGGCTGTTTCCTCAAGAGTATAACTGCTTGTCACAGTAGGCATTATTGCGCATGAAGAAATTCCAGTTCTTCAAATGTGGCTTTAAGCACCTGCTTTTGATTGTGCTTGGCATTTGTGGCTTTGCATGTCCTGTGCATTCAAAAAATGTCTTGTTACCCTTTCAGGGCTGGCTCCTGCTCTTTTCACAATTCAGCCGATGGTATGGAATCGTTATATCAGAACCCACGTCCTCAAATCCATCAAGAATTTAGCTTTAAATATTGGAAGAAAGTTGAATAGTAAGTACAAATACCTGCTGGTCATTCTCTTTGACCAAATGTTAATTCTTCTGGACAAATAAATCGAGGCTCTAAAAAAGAGCAACTCTGGCTAGATTTCTAAGAGACTGCAAAATATTTTCCACTTAGTTCTTCTGTCACATGCCACTTAGGATGTCACATTTCGAATTGTAAATCAGCTTTCAAGGTGGACAAACAATATCACTGAAAAACATTTTTGCAGGATCACCTAACTTCTTCCGTGCAAATATAATAATAGTATATCTC